CATTGGAAAAAAAATTGTAGGGTACCCTAAAGGGCATCCCTCAAATAAAATTATTTGAGGGATCCCTCAATAGAAGGGGACTGTATATATATATATATATATATATGAAATGTGTATGAAATGTCTGGTCAATCTCCAAAGATTCTCAATGTCAATTAATAATATGAAATGTGTATTATATCTGATTGTAAAGAAACTTATAGCCAAGGAGTAAGGTGACAGATTGAGCAACCCTATTATAACCTCTAGGAATATAGTCACAAGAAAAGAAAAGAAAAGAAACTGAGACAGTAGGTATATGCTGGCATTAGCTACATATGCATCATCCTCAAATTTCAGATGTGGGCTCTACTATAATCGAATGGAACACCGAATCCAGTTCAAAGCTTCAACTCACATGAAATTGCTAGAATCTCATTCTGGAAATGCTGCCCAAAGGGTCATCGTCACCACCATCACTTCGCCTTTGTCATTCCCAACAGTAGCACCTCAAAACTGGTTTTTAAGAACCATCTACATTGAGTTTTGGTCGAGCCACAGGAGGACATTTCAAATGAGCATGTTTTTGGGTCTTTGAGGCATCACCAAAAGTGCATTCACTCCTTGTATTCATCAAGCAAAGATAATGACATGTTAAAAGACAATGACAACTCAGGGATCTCAATCCCATGCATCCCAAGATTGTGACTGTACCAGATAGCCCATGAAGCTGACCTCTTTCCAAGTACCCATCATTGTGCTCAGCAGAGAGAGCTTCAAAATCAAAGACAATTTCAGCCAAACGCACATAGAAACCATAGTGGCTCTACAAAAATTCTACAATGAATGAGTTGACATCACGTAGCAATATGTTGAGCATGATAAGAGACCATATGCACTTCCTTAGCTTGGGTATGGTTTGAAATGAAGAACCAGATACATCCCTACTGTCCCTCATGACCTTCATATCTTCAACAACCCTATCTTCATTCCACATTGAGTGAATAATGCCAAACCAACTGGGAAGCTCCTAGTGCTGGAATTTTTGCATAAACTATACCATGAGATTCAAGAATTTATACTGCATCCGACAAAATCCTCAACTTCTTACATAGCGACCTGCCATGAAGGAGAAAGCTGTAGGTTGACACAGAGCATAACTTGCAGCAGCCTGATAAAGAAGTTGAGAAGAATATTTTGGTTAATGTTCATAGGGGAAACTAGCAAATGTACATGCTCTGAGAATACTTATCTGTGTTAGTTTTATTATTAACAATCTAGGAATACAGATATTAAAATGAAATGTCAAATCAAAGACAATTGTCGTTTCAGGATCATTTTAAACATAAACTCTATCTCTATGCGTATGAACAGGTACTATCAAATTAATTGTAACTAAAATCTATAAACATGGGGCAAATACAATCAATTATAGGAGAAAGATAATGAAGCTGAGACTGGACCTCATATATAATCTGCAAGTTTAATTAAGTTTTGCTTCAGACATCGGATTTGCAACCGCTAAACTTGAACTTCACAACAATTTTTTGTCCGGACAGCATACTGAGCTTGGCTTCTTCACTATCATCTCTTTCAAGCTTTTCACTCGAGAAATCCTTGGTTAGATCAGAATTACAATCATGCCTAACATCGATCATATTCTCCATTCCTTCACCCCCCTGCTCAAGAGGTGCGCTCGAAACACAGCACAATCTTTTAATTCTAAGGAGATCCTCTGATGTACAAGGCTTGGCTACAGATAAAATACTCGCCATCGACCGCTTCTTATGCTTACCCTTGTGTTGTTTTTTCATACGCCTCGGCTTAGTAGAAGAAGGCAATGTTTTATTACACTGAATAACATTAAGATGTGAACTTGGTATTGTAGTTGAAGGTGTTGAAGGTTGATCTGTTGAAACCATAATACTGGAAGCATCGTGGGGACTGAAGCCAGTCTTGTTTTCTTCATGCTTATGACTGCTATTTGAAGGAGATAAATGGCAATGTTGGATTGAAAGTGCCGATACTGCTTCCTCAGAGTCAGAGTATAATTTACACTCATCTTCAATCTCCTGCTCAATGGTATCTGGTTCTTTGTCTTCGGAGTAATCAACATTCTCATCATCTTGTTGAGTAGAATTCAAACCTACAGCTCCTCTGAGTGATTGGATGGCTGAATTATGGGATTCAAGGGGCGGCAACACATCACTAATACCGTAATTGAGACACATTTGCAAGTATTTTTCTGGAAATGGCCAGTTAGAAAAGACATCTTTCTGACGACAAGCAAGAACATACTGTCTGCAAATAGAAATAGTTATAAATGAGAGGCTAGTTGATTTTTGAAGCAAAAAACTTTAAGTTGAATGTAGTGCAACTCATTCTTCAACATAAAATGAACATGCGCGATACTATTGCACAAAAGGAAACAAAGGAAAAATTAAATACACGAAAACAGATATATACGAATGGAAATAAACATGAAACTCACTCACAGTACGGATAAATAAAAGAGCAAGACCTCATAAATTAGGGAGAACCGAAATTTGTTCATAACCTGGAAATTTAGTTTACTCCAAACTTGTTCTTCTGAAAACCCCCAAAACAGAAAGAACAAAAACTGCACGGTTCTATTAAATAAACAGTATTCTGTATTTCAAATTAATGGAACAAAATTGAAAACAAAATACAGAAACATGCATTTCCACTCGAAAAAAAAAATATACAAATCAAATACAGGTTATGAAATAGAATCTGAAAGACTAGATGAAGATATATAAAAAAGACAAGAAAAAACACTCTCTCTCCCAAATATATTATAATATGCGAAGATCAATCACCTTATAGAGAAGGGTCTTTTATCTGGTTCCTCAAGATTGTTATTTGAAGTTGTTTGCTGATGCATAGATTGGGAAACCCCAGCTGGGTTCTTCTGCTGAGGCAGCATAGGGTAGACCGCAGAGATTAATCAATGGCTAAAAATGAAAAGGAAGACAAACCCAGTTGAAATTATGGGCACTGCAACAATATGGAACAAGAATGAAGAACAAAATTATGGGCAATCAATGGAAACGAAAAGCCCTTGACCCAGAGAAACGAGGGTTGGAGAACAGAAAGAAAGCCCGAGTTTCAGCTGGTGGGTTGACCAAAGGTTGAAAAGAACACAAGAATATCAGAAAATGAAAATGAAATTCCAACAGTCTGCAAGTTCTCAAAAGAATGAAATGAGAAAGAGAAACGTGTTAGAGAAAGCGTTGCGAATTACAGAGGAAAAGAGAAGTGTGTTCAAGCTTAAAAGGGTTTGGGATGAAAAGGGTGTGTAGCTTAAAAAGAACGCAAGGAAGAAAAAAAAAGAGATATGTTTGTTTTTCAAAATCAGAAGAATTTTATAGATGGGAAGAGAAATTTGAATGAGCTGTAGATTGTTTCTCGTGACTTTGAGAGAGAGAGAGATTGAGAGAGAGAGAGAGAGAGAGAGAGAGAAAGAAGAAGAAGAAGAAGAAGAAGAAGAAGAAGGAAATCGAAGAGGCACCTCTAGCTATTTTCCTTCTATTTTTGTTTGGAGATTTGTTGTTTTCTTTCTTTCTCCTTCGAAAAAATAAATAAAAGAAAACAGAGAAAATCTGATATTTGGGTGTGAGGCTGAAGGGCGTGTAGTTTTTAGGTTATGGAGTTTGAGCGTTCTGTTTTGGAAGGCAGAATACATTTAAGCTTTGACCAAATTTAACAGTCAACTAAATTTGAGAAATCAAAAATGGGTGGCCTTAACTGTCCTGCGTTTATTGACCAAAATGAAAAAAAACAAAAACAAACTGTCCTGCCTTCGCCTTGAGCTTTTCTCTCTCACAGAGGACACATCAAACTCCTTCTATGGCTTGAGAAGCAGAGCCTTCATTTCTACGGCAAGAAAATTATCTCCTGTACATGATTATCGAAGTCCTTTTTCAGACTTGTCTTCTTGTTTTCCTGTGTTTAATTTGCTGTTGTGTTTCTGGTGGCAGGTGGTTGTTTCCTCTTTCTCTAGTAATATCTCTGTAGCCTGTTGCTTGCTTGCTCATCAGGCTTTGGCATTTGTTTTTAGATTTTATGTTTCTTTAGTTGAATCAATAAGTTTCCCTTCATCCGTGAAAGATGGCTCGAATACAGCGTTTGATCTTCTCTATGCTGAAGTGACTATCGCAGTTTATCTCTAAACTTCTTCTGACATATATGGTTCCTCCTTTGCAAATTTTGCAGTATCTGTGTCTGCATTTGGTAACTGATGATCTTATTTGGTCCCAGACTCAATTAACAGATATATACATATGGTGAAGAAGCTGGAAGGAGAAGGCCATTTCAATACTACTGATACCCAACGCATCAGGAAACAGTCATAGATATGAGAAAAACTCTAGTGTGAAAACCATAAAAGTTAAACAAGCAGATTGCAAAACTTTTTCTGCCTTTTTCCAGTGGACATGGGAGGGCTTGAAGGCTTTGTTAGAGAAACCTCGCGGTAGAGAACTCAAAAAATTGAGAATAATAATTGTTGTTAACCCCCGGGAGGGCTTGAAGGCTTTGATTGCCTTTCTTTTGATATAGTGAAGCTGGAAGGAGAAGGCGATCGATCGATCTCAATACTATTGGTGATTCTCAACATCTCTGTCATGTGATGCAGTAGGACACCAAATTTTAGATCTAGTTAGCAGGCATAGAGTCTCTCAATTTTTCTGATTATCTCTACTATTTGTAAAGCAGCTTAGAAACCAAACTTAAATTATTTTTGGTCAATTGATTTTGCTTGTAATAGCTACCCTGCCGTAGGAAAAAAGAAGGAAACAAAAAACAAAAACGGTTCAAGGTACAAATGTTTAGGAGCAGAAAATTCCTTAGGTATAGGTGATTGATGAGTTGAACTTCTGTCGCTGGACTTTCTAAGCTCAACGTAGGTAGGAGGCTGATAAGAAGTTGGGGTGTAGGACAATATAGGAGCTATTATATATTATTCGAGCAGAATGTAAATGTTCTTTTTCAGGGATTTTTGTACAGAAGATTTCGCTTGTTTCGGGTGAGAAGAATCGATTGTTGAAGGTAAAAACTATTATGTCAGTATATTTTTTATGTAATAAACTGAGTGAATATTTGAACTGATGAAGAAATATTACATGCAGCCGTCGGACTCTATCTGTTCGATGATGAAGTTCTCTGAACTGCTTCAAACTAGACGAGAAAGAGAAAGTGGTACAAACCTATTGAGGCAGCTGGACAAGTTTGTTCAATGGCTTCCTTGAGGAACATATTACAATGAATTACAACTGATTCTATGGAAGGACAAATAAAACCCATTAAAGCCAGATAATTAATAGTACTGAAGCTAGTAAAGATGACTCCAGCAGTGCCATGCCAATTGAATAGTCTTAAGAATAAATCATAGAATTCCAGAGTTTTGGCCTTGGACTGAGGAGCAGAGTTTTAGCTAGTGCTAGAAAATTATCTCCTTTTTGCAAATCAATAGTCTGTTGCTAATTGCTTACTTTGTTTTGTCTGTGAGATGACTCTATCTCTGTACTGAAAAAAGCAAGCTGATCAAGTTTTTATCTTCAAAGTTCTGAGGTGGTTCCACCTTTGCAAATTTTGCTGAAAACACAACATGGTAAAATCTGTTGGAAGGATGCTTTTTGGTGAAATATCTTAGATCCTAGACTCAAATATTACACATATACCTGCAATGCATTTGGTGAAGCTGGAATGAGAAGGCTGTCAATATTCCAACACATCAGGGTATAAGAAACTTACTCTTGATTATAAAAAGATATAAAAAAGATTTTAAAAATTCCTTTACTACAATCACTTTGAATCCAACACATATATACTCAAATTAAAGTTAAGCATGAGCTGATGGCGAAGAATAATCGGAGAAGAAAATGCAAGATGGACGAAGGCGAATTGCATACCATTGTTGTCGTTGAGCTTCTCCCCAACAAGCCATGGCAATGATAAGCATTTATACCCTAGCTAACAACAGTGGTTTTGCATGAACCAACGTGAGAGAGAGAGAGAGAGAGAGAGAGAGAGAGAGAGAGAGAGAGAGAGAGAGAGAGAGAGAGAGAGATGCGGGTGATGCTGCCGCAGTGGGGCTCTATATAATTGTTGTTAATTCTCTTCTTCTTAGTTTATGCTAATCATTTTCATTGCTGTGGTGGATCCATTGAAGGCCTGCTTTGATTATGATGGCAGTAGAGTTTCTGCAGATCTCTGCAAAATAATATAGCAAGCTACATCTGGATGACCCATCACAGTTCATTTACTTCAACTTAAATAAGGTTAGCGTGGGAGGTTTGAACTACATTACAGTTCATCCGTAGCCTGTTGCTTGCTTGCTCAAGCTTTGACATTTGTTTTATGAGTTCATCTTTCATTTCGTGAGTCGATAAATTTTCATTGATCCACAAAAAGATGACTCAAGTCAAATGCAGCTTTTGATGTTGTCTGTATTGAAGCGCCGGTCAGTTTATCTTCAAACTTCTGGGGTATTTCCACCTTTACAAATTTTGCAGCAAGGCCTTTACCACCTGGTGAAATTTTTTGCTGCATTTGGTGAAGATCTTAGATCCTAGACTTAGTTAACACACATATACCTCAATGCATATGGTGAAGCCGGAACCCAACACACATGAGAATAAAGTTGCAGATATGAGAAATTAACTATAAACTGTGAGAAAGGTAGAAAACTTATTTCAACATATTGCAAAGTTTCCTCACTACAATAACTTTGAACGAATATTTTTTTTATATTTAAAATAAACTTCTTCTAGCTGCATTTCCCAATGAGTACGTAATTGAGAACAATTGTGGTTAGCCTATGGGAGGCCTTGCTTCAATGCCTCGCCTTTAAACCTTGGTTTGATCTCAAACTTTGTGCTTTTCCTATTTTGGTTGGTATGATTTCTGTTCCTACTTCGGTCATGCGATGCAATGGAAAACCAAATTTACTAGGCATAGTCCGTTGTGTCTCAATTGGATGTTATGTCTTACGTTTGATATGTGTTATCTTTCTGAAGTTTTCATTTATTCACCCTTGATGAATGCAGCATTTGATGTTCTCCATACTGAAAACGCTGATCAAGTTTGTATGTTCAAAGTCCTCAGACTTTGCAAATTTTGCAGAGAATACGACATTGTAAAATTTATTTGAATTAAATAATACGCAAAAACCCTGCACGCCTACGCAGTTGGTGAACCTTAAATTAGAAGGCAATCAATATTGGTATCTGGCACTTCACATCACGGTAAGAGTTACAGATATGACTTATGAGAAACTAAATCAACTGCAAAAAAAAATAAAAGCTTACTTTGAATCAAGTACACAACCTTTAGCATATTTATTTATTTTTTTTTAATTTTTTTTTTCTCTAGCTGCTTTTCACAATGGAAATAGGGCAAATTGTATGCCAGAAATCTAGTATCATGATCCCTAGAAATCATTTCTGGACGTATTCTCATTAGACAAACAGACAGCAACATGCCTGAAATATTAAGCGTGAGCTTGAGGCTTGAGCACAAATTAGAAGGAAAGGCAAACACCAATCCAAGAAGAAAATGCAAAAGCGAAGAAGGCTTGAGCACAATTGCATACCATTGTTGTTAAGAGCTTCTCCCTGAAAAGCCATGGCAAAGATAAACACATTTACCCTAGCTAACAGTAGTTTTGCATGTACCACCATGAGAGAGACACAGAAAGTAGGTGATATTGCTGCAGTGGGTTATATACGCGTGTGCGTGCCGGGGCATAAAATCAACTTTGTTGTTTCTTCAGCAATTTGTAAGCATGTGACTTTGTTAACGTTCAGAAATTTTTAATGAGAAATGAAGAATATGGATGTATACAATCAACTGTTTTCTTTTCCTTTGACAAGGCTTTTTACATTAGGATCCTGTCGTATACACAGGAACTTTTCCTAGCATTGTTAAAATCCGCTTGCAGAGTTTTCTTCTACTCATCTATAATCTAAATAAATCAAAATTAATTACAGGGAAAACAAGTACAGAAGGGAGGGGTTTAACTTTGTGGTGAAAAATTTGCAGGAACATGGAAGAAAGAATTAAAGAAACATTTTATGAGCTTTTTGATTCAATACGAGAGCAGAATTCTTGATACAAGTCAAAGCTCTTTTGCCATTTTAAGAATTCCCCCTTCAATTTACAATATGCCTCCCATTCCTTCTGTTCAAACTTCAAGGAACAAGCATCAAATCTCAACTCTACAGGGCAAAGATCATCAAATAGTTCTAGTCCGACATTATCCTGATTGTCGTTGGATGCATGCTTCTTATCAGACACTTAAGAAATTAAGGTGTCAAACCTGTCATCCTTATAAACAGATTTGCCCCGTATATAATCCATTGGAGATCCTTTAGCCGCAACTGGCTGATATGAAAAGAAAGGTTTTGACTTTTGAGAGCTTCTCCATGTCTCATCTCCATCATTACAAGGGACGTCACTGGATTATCGACAATCTCATC